GTAGCGCCGCCGCGGAGAGAGAGAGAGAGAGTGAGAGACTGGAGAAGAGAAACGGCCAGGGGGGAGGGGGGGAGGGAGGAGGTCAGTCGAAAACTGGGTGAAGAAAAAGGGGTGCCACGAAGTGCCTGCGGCCGGACTGCGCCGGGCGGGCGGCGCGTCTCGGTCGTGTCCGGGAATGCCTTGCGCTCCTCCCTGCCGCCCTTCCCCCTCCCTCCCCCTCCCCCGCGCTGGCGGTGCGTACGGCCCCGGTACGGCCTCTCAGCGGGGGAGGGCGTTCTCTGGCGGGCATCACCGGGGCGCCGCCGCCGCCGCCGCCGTCGTTGCAACGCGGAGCCAACGAGAGCTTCGCGGGCCAGGCCGCTCCGCGCCGCGCGCACGCCCGGGCCGCCGCCAGAGCAGGAAATGATCTCCCGAGTATATCTGCACGTTTTCGATCCAATAAATTAGTGCGGCTGCAGAAAACGGGGTCTCTCCCGCGCGCTCGGCTATCGTGCGCGCCGCCCGCCCGCACCGCCGCCGCCACAGCCACAGCCACAACAACACTTATTATAAGTGTAAAGTCAAATACCTTCCTCTCCCGGACCACCACCGCCGCGGCGCCGCCGCCGCCGCCGCGCCTTACCGTGCCGCCGAGGTGGGCCGGGGCGGCGCTTGGCCACGGAGTATAGTAAATGGCGTGCGCTTTCCTGGAATATCGCTGTTATTCGCTCTCGCGGTGCCGCGGCGGTCGTTCGACTATCTCTGCTCTTGCCGCGTCGATGTGGAGCGGCATTTTGTGTGGAATCGATACTACTTTCGTCCGCACACACACATAGTTCACAAATCATTCTGATAATGGCACAAACTTTGCGGTGGGAGAAAATTGTTGGCGTTGTTCACATAACACATTTAGAGTGTGCAACTTATGGTATATTCGTGCACGATAGTTATGAAGTGTTCAAACACCTGTTGCTGTGCAGCACAAGTTGGACGGTGCACAAACAGAGAAAGGTTGACTGAACGCGCGAAAGCGCGCCAAAGTCTTTCGCAGTTGAACACTTTGGTTTACCAGCGCAGACTGCCCCGTCAGCAGAATTCTTCATTCCCGTCGCCGATCTGACGAGCTAATAGCTTGAGAAAGGGCCGCCCTGGATACGAAGCTTTTGAGTGAGTGAGCCCCTGTGGGCCCTCCCTAGCCCTCGATGTG